TCTCCAACTTCTTCTCCACTACTGTCCACGTCTCTTGAAATTCCAGCAACACCAAACTGTTTGTAGCTCCATATAATACCATTTTGCTTCTCTTCTCTGTGCCTTTGCTCATTTTGTTCCTACTGTCTGGAATGCCATTCTCCTCAACCCCCTCTATCTTTCATCTGGCTCACTCTTCCTCATCCTGAAGATTTAATCCTGGTCTTACTGCCTCTAGAGTGCTTCCTGATGACATAGCATAGTTTAGGATAGCCCTCCAGCCTTACTGTTTCTATCATTTCCTGTGCCTAACTCTATTACTGTATGGTCATAGAGCTTCATAACTATGTCAATGTCTGTTACCACTTTGCCCTTCCCAAATTTCTTTCTTCCTGACACAATCCTAATATCTGCTTGGGTATTCCTCTTCTGTTTCTACTTCAAAGGAAGCTTACCCTATCCCTACCTCAAGGAGTGGATCCTGATTAGTCTAAGTCAATTCCCCTAAAAACTGTTATTGGATTAGGATGGACATAAAACTAAAGTTGAGCTGGCTTGGTGGCTCAGCCTATAATCCTGCGCCTTTGGGAGGCTGAGGTGAGTGGATTGCCTGAGCCCACAGGTTCGAGACCTGCCTAGGCAACTTGGCGAGACCTCATCTCTACAATAAACCAAAAATCAAAATGAGCCGGGCATGGTAGCATGCGCCTGTAGTTCCAGCTCCTTGGAAGGCTGAGGCGGAAGGATCGCCGGAGCCCAGCAGGTCAAGGCTGCGGTGGCCAGGAGCAGCCACTGCACTCCAGTCTGGGTGACAGAGTGAGACTCCAACTCAAAAAAAAAAAAAAAACTAAAGTTGGCCCAATTATACTACAGGAAGGATTTATATTGTGAATATTTTCTTTTGCCCTCTTGCTGAGTATTACTAAGGGACACGGTCAGCCCTGATTTCCTCTGAAAGTCTTATACTCAGGATGAAAATAATCCTTAGGATGGAACAGCATTGGGAGTGGAATTGCTAGGAGACAAAGGACTTGAGTACTTGAACTGACTGACTTCTGTAATCATTCAACCTTAGAAAGCCTGCCTTATCTCTCAATGTTCCATTATGGGAGATAATAATTTCCTTATTGTTTAAGTGAATTTTAGTCAAGTTGCTACTGTTTACAGCCAAGTGGCAGGTACTAAATAATAGACAATTCCCAAAAACAAATGGAACACAAAGAAGTAATAATTCTAGCACTTTGACCAGGTTATGCTTTGCTGAAATGATTCCTGAGAGTAAAAATTAAAATACTTAATTAGACAAAAGAGATAAATAATGCCAAGAAAATAATATAGACTAAACAAAGACACCAAGGTGGAAATGTGATGATTTCAGAGGCTAGTGAATGAAGACGTCTGGCTACAGTAGATGGTTTATAAAGGAAAATCAAACTAGAAAGATAGGCAAACTTACAATGTAGAAAATCTTCAATATTTTTTCTCCAAGTTATTTGTTTTAAAGATGCATAATTTGGTTTCAACTTTATTAGTGTGTTTTCTTTCTTAGGCAATTACCCATGGGTACATGGGTAAATTTTAACCTTTTTATCTATCTTAAATATTTTATTTTAAAGAGGTATATAATTTCAGTAAAAGACATTATTTTGTCAAAAAAATTCATTATTTTTGCATTTATAATTGTACAAGAATATGTTTATTAAAATTAACTTTTATTCTCTGATAATTAAACCATTTTACTAGTAAAAAAACTTTCCACTCAAAATAAAATGTGAATTATATGAAATTGTAATACCTCAGAAATGTAAAGATCAGCTTGTTTTAGTAACTCTCCAATAATTAGAACATTTGAAGTAGTACCATCCCCTGTGATGTCATCCTGAGCTGTTGCTACTTTTGCTATCAAGGAGGCTGTTGGATGTTGAATTTGCTGGAAAAGGTAAGCAACATATTAAAAAAGATAGAGGATGAGATAAGGAAGTAGGCAACCGAAAACAAGATAACCTAAGGGTCAACAGTAAAATTAAGAAATGAAATAAGTTTCTTTCTACAAGTTTACAAATTTTATATTATCACTACTTAAATGTCAAGTCCAAAATTTAAAAAGTGAGAAGTAATGAGGTCTGAACATCTTATAAAAGACTTTGCTTCAGAATGCAGTGACATTTCCAAAATAAGATTAAATCCTTCAATCTCAAAGATGAATTCATTTATTAAAATTGCAAAGGATTTTTTATTTTCCCATGATTACAAAGAACATAATGGAATGTTCTTAAAAGATACTATTAATGTTTAAGTATCCATAAGTTATTACTTGGACTATACAAATATTTGGAAACAACCAAAAAACATTTTTTATTGAGGTTTAATCCAACAAGTACGTCTCAAGACTGTCATATTTATTTAGCTGCAGGCTTGGCTTAAAGATATACAAGTTGTACTATGTTTTTAATTAAGGCTGATTAAGGTTTACTGACGTCAGCAGCAGCAGCTCACCATCTCATGGAGCAGAACATTGCCATCTTTGGTGAGTCTGATGTCACCTGTACCAGAAACAAGCCTGTTCAGAGAAGAGTGATGTTATTACCCTCACATGGCATGACTCAAGCAAGACACTCCCAGTGCTTGCCACTCCGCTATCTTTATTACAGAGAACTAGGCTTGGGAAAACTTCCACTGTACCATAGGGAGATACTATGGTGATTACCACCATTTGCTGCTCATAGAATTACTTCTCCCCAGATGGACTGCTTATGGCGGTTTCATCCCAAATGGAGCATTTACAGGTTTAAAGATAAAAGCAGTTCATGAGTTATGAACAATGGTTCCGTCAAAGACTATTTGGAAGTCTACAAAGCACAAACTTGCAAATTTCCTGCAGGTTTTTTATTTTGGTGAATGTTCTCATTCAGTCACTCAACTCAGTTTCCTTCACCCCTTATTAGGCTACCAAATTCTATCAATCCTACAGCCTAAATGTCTCTTGAGTCTGCCCCCTTCTCTCCATTTCTATCTACTGTCATCATCATCTCTACTTAGCATCCTGATATCTCCAAATTTAAACCTACCCTCCATACTGCATTTATCTTTCTAAACGCAACTCTCTGATTTAAAAAAAAAAATCCTTCAATGATTTTTTTTTAAGACACAGGGTTTCGCTCCACCACCCAGGCTGGAGTTAGGAGTACAGTGGCACAATCATAGCTCACTGCAGCTTCAACTCCTGGGCTCAAATGATTCTCCCTCCTCAGTCTCTGTAAGAACTAGGACTACAGGCATGAGCCACCACACCTGGCTAATTATTTTATTTTATTGTAGTAACGGGGGTCTTGCTACATTGACCGGGCTGATCTCAAACTCTTTGTTTTTTGTTTTTTTTTTTTGAGTTGGAGTCTCACTCTGGAGTGTAAGTGGCCGCTCCCGACCTGCTGGGCTCCGGCGATCCTTCCGCCTCAGCCTTCCAAGTAGCTGGAACTACAGGCGCGCGCTACCACACCCCGCTAATTTTTTGATTTATTGTAGAGATGAGGTCTTACCAAGTTGCCCAGGCGGGTCTCGAACCCGCAGGCTCAGGCAATCCACCCACCTCAGCCTCCCAAAGGCGAGGGATTACAGGCTAAGCCACCTAGCCCGGCTGATCTCAAACTCTTGGCCGCAAGTGATCCTCCTTCTTCAGCTTCCTAAAGTCCTGGGATTACAGGCATGAGCCACCATGCTAGGCTGCCTTCAGTGATTTTTACATTCTCCAAACGAACTTAGCAATGACATACTCGACCTTTCCCAATCTGGTTTATGTCTATCTTTCCTGCCTCAAACACTGGCAAATCCTTTGGTTTCCCTGAATACACCATGCTTAGGTTTTGTATCTGTTGGGTTTCTTATTCCTGAAATTACTTTGCCTAGAAGGCCTTTACTCCCTTCTCCAACAGGTGAACTCTTATTCCTCTTTCAAGATTATGATTAAACTTTTTTTTATCATGTTATTTAAGAAGTTTTTCCTTCTGCCATCAGTAATTAGTCCCTTTCCCCAGTGTAATCATATGCATCTATATATAATTAGATGCATATGATTATCTGTCTCTACCAGATCTCCTAAAGAACAGAAACTGTCATTTCTGCATTCCCAGCACCTAGTACATAAGTGCCCTCTTTTACCGTTAATAGTAATTTGTTTTGCTAATTCCTGTGAGCATGTACCTCTCCTCGTACACTCTTTTGCTCTCACTAGTCTCTTTTCCTCACTCTTATCTAAAGAAAATGTTGCTACATAAATGTATGCTGAAAGGATGAACAGATATGAAGAAGCGCAGGCCAAGAGAGTCAAGTAGAACTTGGATTTGAACCCAGGGCTTCCTGGCTCCAAAGCCCCCTCCACTACAACAAGCTGCTATACATAAACCAAACTATCTGTCCAATTCATGGACTAAGGGCATATAGTCTTAAAGAGCAGAGGAGTTAAATGCTTTATATTTCCAATGAGACACTAAATGAACCTTCTAATCACAGAAGACCCTTAACGAGCAGGGAAGGGGCCGTCACAACTCCATCCATGTGGCCCTTCCCTCGGGGAGGCTTTTCTTCCTCTCCCCCACCAAACTACTGATGCCTCCGGGCAGGAGTGAGAGTGAGGGAAACCAGGCCCGCGGGAGCGTCCTCCCGCTCCAATATCCGCGGAACGGCTGCCTCGAGGCCGCCAGACACCTTCTCGAGCCCCCGGCGGCCAAACCGCCGCTCCAATCGCCGCCTCACATTTTCATGGTGCCCTTAGGACCCAAGGTGGTCCGCAGCACATCCTGCAGCCCTCGGGCGGCGCATATATTGATCGCCAAGGCTGCCTGGGCCCGAGCCACCTCTGCCTTGGAGTTTACAGCACTTATCGCAGCCATGGCGCGACCGTTAAGTGCAAAAACAGCTTCAGTCGCGATATTCAGCAAAAACCCTGACGCCCCACCCCACATTCCTGAGCTTCGGCCAATCATCGCCCGGAGGGAAGTGACGTCATCAGGCCTCGCCGAGACGGAAGCCAGAATCGCCTGGACTCTGGTCGCCGTCATGGCGTCCTCCGCTTCGGCTCGGACTGCGTCTGGAAAGCGAGTGGTGAGCCAGGAAGAACTGCGGCGATTGATGAAGGAGAAACAGCGTCTGAGCAACAATCGGAAACGGATAGAATCCCCATTTGCGAAGTACAACCGTTTGGGGCAGCTGAGCTGTGTCCTGTGTAACACCCCGGTGAAGAGCGAGCTCCTGTGGCAGACTCACGTCCTGGGAAAGCAGCACCGAGAGAAAGTGGCCGAGCTGAAAGGGGCGAAGGAAGCCACCCAGGGTACGTCCGCCAGCTCCGCTCCTCAGTCCGCCAAGAGGAAGGCTCCCGACGCAGACTGCCAGGATGTCAAGAGAGCCAAGTCTTCCTCGATGCCTCAGGTACAGCCCTCCACGTCCGCTTTGCCCACCAACTTTGACAGAACAGTAAAGGAGTCCACTAGAGCGACTTCCAGTAAGCATTTGGGACTCGGTTTGCTGCCTGATTATGAAGATGAGGAGGAGGAGGAAGAGGAAGAGGAGGGAGGAGGAGAAAGAAAAAGGGAGGACGCCAGCAAGCCCGACGCACAGGGCAAGGAACACTCGCTTTCATCCTCGCGGGAACTAACAAGTGGTGTGCTGTCAAACGATTTGTTTAATACAAATCCTCCCAAGGCCCCCATAATTCCTCATTCAGGGTCAATCGAAAAAGCAGAAGTACATGAAAAAGTGGTGGAAAGGAGAGAAAACACCGCGGAAGCATTACCGGAAGGTTTTTTTGACGACCCTGAGGTAGATGCAAAGGTACGAAAGGTTGATGCCCCAAAGGATCAGATGGACAAGGAATGGGACGAATTTCAAAAAGCCATGAGGCAGGTCAACACTATTTCCGAAGCCATAGTTGCTGAAGAGGATGAGGAGGGACGGTTGGACCGCCAGATTGGGGAGATCGATGAACAGATAGAATGTTACCGCCGAGTGGAAAAACTGCGGAATCGCCAGGATGAAATAAAAAATAAGCTTAAAGAGATCCTTACCATAAAAGAACTGCAGAAAAAGGAAGAGGAACATACTGACAGCGATGATGAGGGAGAACTACAGGATTTGTTGTCTCAGGATTGGAGAGTGAAAGGGGCATTGTTGTAACGTTTTAAAGACCTGAAATTTCTTATCAGATCTGCTCTTGTATAAAAAGTGTTGTCTTTCAGTATATTAGTCACTTCATGCCTAGAGATTTAAGTATTTAACTGGATTGTTTAGATAAGATGAGCCAGTGAGCTACAGAACTTTGGAAAGTGTAAAATATTTTTAAAGTAAAGTTGTTTTTGACATTTTTGAAGTGTTGTATACCAAAATGCCAACTTTTTCACAACAGGCTTAACTATATAATTTTGAGGTGTAAAATCTGTAAGTTGTAAATACTGTACATATTAAATATATATTTACTTAATTCTGTTTTGAAACTTTTTACTAGAAGTCAGATCAACAGACAGGCTTTTAGATGAACACTCAGTGTGGAATTGGGGAGTATATGTCTTTTTCTAACCCCTAAATCAAGCCCAGAAGTTTTATTTTGTTTTGGGGGATTTTTTTAGAACACTGCTCATAAACGTAAGTCATTGTAGGTTAATCAGTTAATTAGTATCCTGAGTTTAAAAACAACTTTAGGAGAACATCAAGAAATATATGCCAAACATTATCAATCTTCTTTTTTTTTTTTTTTTGAGTTGGAGTTTCACTCCATTGCCCAGACTGGAATGCAGTGGCCGCTCCCAGCCACCACAGCCTCGACCCGCTGGGCTCCAGCAATCCTTCTGCCTCAGCATTACTAATCTTCTTAAACTAAAGTTTCTCTTAACTAGACCAATGATGGTCAGATACAGTTACACATGAGAATCACCTATGAAACTTGAAACTCAAGTGCCTGAGGCCTGCCTTAACTTTCAGTGAATCTGGGGTGGGGCCCAGGCCACTGTATTTTTGAAAGCTCCCAGGTTACTCTAATATATGCCAGAATTAGAGAGTAACTTCCCTAAATCCTGAACCCATTATATTTTGGGGGACTTTTGCTTAAAAAAAAAAATGTCCATAAGTTTAGTGTCTCTTGAATGAAAGAAGTAATACCTTTTATTTCTGTTTCATCCCATCTTAAATTTTATTTTGTGGTAAATTGGGGTTCATGTTTTACAGATTCTGTCTATTTTAAGAATATTTAAGTTGTTTTTCCAACAGTAATAATTGGATCATGCTGGTCATTGATAATTTAAGTCACTCGTCCTTGGGAGATTGAGGTATTCATATAGGAAAAGGGAATTAGCTGTGTTCTGGAGGTAGAAATGAATACAGCATATTCAAGTAAAAATAAGCAATGATAATAGCTAAGACTTAACATAGTTCTTAGAATGGATCAGGCAGGGTTCTATGTGTTTTATGTATATTAACTCAGTCTAGTTTCATGAAAGCCCAAATTTTATGGAGGGGAATACCAAAAGATAAGTTTTGAAAAGACTTGAATGCTCAATGAAAGCTTCCTATTGGCAATATGGAAATTAAACCAAAGATTTTGAGCAAATAATTACATCTGTAAAAAATATGGAAGATTATTCTAGTTTTATACAGTATATAGAATGGAACAAATGGGGGATAAAGATGAGATTCAATGTTTTGTTTTTTGTTTTTAGTGTCAGTGCCTAAAAGAAGCTATCTAACACTTATTGAGCAGTTGCTGTATGCCACGCATTGTCCTACTCCCTTTGGCACAAAGTCTTTCTTGAGCTGCCAGCTGATCAGTTATAGCAACTTTAGTTTGATGACACATCCATCACTACCTCAAGTGTATGAAGTCACACATAGAATGTTCTATCATTCATAGCTTTATTATTTCAGCAAGAAAGTACAAATATGGGCTTGGATGGTAGGCCCAGTTCTACTTTGGCTAATTGTCTAGAGGAGCGCTGTTCATTTAAAATATAATGCAATACCACTTACCTGACAGGGGAGATACCATGATCATGAAGGTGGTTTTTCATGGGTGAGACTCATCCATTGCATTCTGGATGTATTGATTTCCCCAAACAAGAGAAATAAATAAAATAATGCAGGGGCGGGGCATGGTGGCTCATACCTGTACTCCCAGCCCTTAGGGAAGCCAAGGCAGGAGTTTGAGACCAGCCTGTGCAACCTAGCAAAACCCAAATAATTTTTAAAATTAGCAGGGCATGGCGTTGCATGCCAAGACTTTGAGGCTGCAGTGAGCTATGATTGTACTACTTCACGCTATCCTGAGTGACAGAATGAGGCCCTGTCTCAAAAAAAAAAAAAAAAAAGATTATATAATGCAATGCAAGGAGGATGTGAGGGTTTAAAAATTACCTATTGGGTACACTAGAAGCCCAAACCACACCATTTGGCCATTTGGCCATATGGCCATGTAACAAACCTGCACACATACCCCCTGAATAAAAAAAATAATTTTTTTTTTTTTTGAGTTGGAGTCTCACTCTGTCACCCAGACTGGAGTGCAGTGGCCGCTCCTGGCCACTGCAGCCTCGACCTGCTGGGTTCCGGTGATCCTTCCACCTCAGCCTTCCGAGTAGCCAGAATTACAGGCATGCGCTACCATGCCCGGCTGATTTTTTGATTTATTGTAGAGATGGGGGTCTCGCCAAGTTGCCCAGGCGGGTCTTGAACCCGCGGGCTCAGGCAATCCACTCACCTCAGCCTCCCAAAGCGCAGGATTACAGGCTGAGCCACCGAGCCCGGCTAAAAAAAACAATTTTAATGAAGAATATATACGTTGCAAATCATAGATACATTTTACACTTTCTAGTAGTCAAAGTAAAAAAATAGGTGAAATTAATTCTAATGTTTTTATTTAACCCAATATGTCCAAATATTAACGTTTTAATATTTAAAGATTAATGGCCAGGCGTGGTGGCTCAAACCTGTAATCCCAGTACTTTGGGAGGCCGAGGCGAGAAGACTGCCTTAGCTCAGGGGTTTGAGACCAGCCTGGGCAACTTGGTGAGACCTTGTCTCTACAATAAATCGAAAAATTAGCCAGATGTGGTAGCACGCACCTGTAGTTCCAGCTACTTAGAAGGTTGAGGCCAAAGGATCGCAGAGACCAGTAGGCTGAGGCTGCAGTGGATGTGAGTGTACCACTACACTCCAACCTGGACCACAGACTGAGACTCTGACTCAAAAAATATATATATATTAATAAGATTTTGCTTTTTTTTTTTTTTTTGAGTTGGAGTCTCACTCTGTCACCCAGACAAGTGCAGTGGCCGTTCCCGGCCACCACAGCCTCGACCTGCTGGGCTCCGGCGATCCTTCCGCCTCAACCTTCCAAGTAGCTGGAACTACAGGCGCGTGCTACCACGCCTGGCTGACTTTTTGATTTATTGTAGAGATGAGGTCTCGCCAAGTTGCCCAGATGGGTCTCGAACCCGCGGGTTCAGGCAATCCACTCACCTCAGCCAAGATTTTGCTTTTTGTGTGTGTGCTACATTTTTGAATTGAGGGTGTATCTAACACAATGCATCTCAGTTTAGGATAGCCAAATCTCAAGTACCCAATAGCCATATGTTACTAGTGGCTACCATAAAGGACAGCGTAGATCTAAAAAGAAAGATAACTGAGGTGAAAAACATGCCCAGGAGGTAGTGAGCAGACCAATTTAACTAGAGCAGAGAGTTAGTTCCTGGCAACACTGGGAGTTATGACTGGAAAGGTAGATTATGAACAATTTGGAGGTCCTTGAATTCCCCCATGCTCTAAGGAATTTGAACTTTCTCTAAGTTAACAAGTTATCCTTAAAGGATGACTTCTTAATTGTAACACAGCTAAAGAAAAGCATAAGAAGTGCCAAGTGTGTGTTCCTACTCATTTGAAGCCCCGCTGGGCTTTTCTTTTAATTTAATTTTATTTTATTTATTTACTTTTTTTTTTTTTTTTGAGTTGGTGGCACTCAAAAACTACAGGCACGTGCTACCACGCCTGGCTAATTTTTGATTTATTGTAGAGATGAGGTCTCACCAAGTTGCTGGGGCTGGTCTCAAACCCGTGGGCTCAGGCAATCCATTCACCTCGACCTTCCATAGTGCTGGGATTACAACCGAGCCACCAAGCCCGCCCCCGCTGGGCTTTTAGGAGTGCCCTAAAACCCCTCAAAATGCAATCCCAATGCTCTGTATCCCAGAGTAGTAGAAATGGGACCCTGATCATAACCAGTGCTCAGTGAAACCTTGTTTAATTTGAGATAAATGTAAACAGCTACAGGAGTTAGTGCATCTTTCCTGATCCTCCACACTTTGGAAAGCTCCTTTATACCTTCTCCAAGCTAAGTCAAAAAGGTATGGGTATTCGACTGAATACTACCAATGTTCCCAAATTGTAAGAATTGGTCCCAAGGACTGCGGCCAGTCATTTCTCTTTTTAAAAAGCTCCCTAATTCAGTCAACATCACACTATAGAATTGTAAATGCTATAAAGATATCCTTTCACCCACTTCATTTACCAATTTAAATCAGTCCCCTAACTTGCAAGAAAAAAAAATGCTGATCCTACTAGCCTTCAAATGTACATTAGTCCAGTGCCTTAAAATTTACAAAATACTTTCACATATATTTTATTTAATGAGAGAAATAATGACTGGTTTTTACATACTAGGAAACAAAATAGGATGTGGAATTAATATTGGAGGGAAAATGTAATTTAGGTCTAAAACCTTTAATAGTAATAATCACTAGATTAGCATGTAGTAATGGAAAACAAAACAAGGGAATTGGCAACAGAAGACCCGTATTCTTTTTTTCTTTTCCGTTTCCTTTCTTTTTTTTTTTTTTTGGTCTTACTCTGTCACCCAGGCTGGAGTGCAGTGACACGCTCATGGCCACCATGGCCTCGATCTGCTGGACTCAGGTGATCCTTCCACCTCAGTCTTCAAAGTAGCTGGAACTATAGGCACACATCTCCACGCCCAGCTAATTTTTTTGAATTATTGTAGAGATGAGGTCTTGCCAAGTTGTCCAAGCTGGTTTCAAACCCATGGGCCCAGGCAATCCTTTCACCTCAGCCTCCCAAAGTGCTGAGATTATAGGCGTGAGCCACCATGCCCAGCCTGAAGGCCTGTATTCAAGTTCTCACACTACCTTTTTTTTTTTGAGTTGGAGTCTCACTCTGTCGCCCAGATTGGAGTGCAGTGGCTGCTCCCGGATACCGCAGCCTCGACCTGCTGGGCTCTGGCGATCCTTCCGCCTCAGCCTTCCAAGTAGCTGGAATTACAGGCATGCGCTACCACGACCAGCTGATTTTTTTATTTATTGTAGAGATGAGGTCTCGCTGCCCAGGCGGGTCTCGAACACGTGGGCTCAGGCAATCCACTCACCTCAGCCTCCCAAAGGTGCAGGATTATAGGCTGAGCCACCGAGCCCGGCTCACACTACCTTTTAATGGTAATGATCTTGGGCCAATCACTTCTCTGAACCTTTGTTTGTTCCACTATAAAATGAGGATGTATAATTCCTCATGGGGTATAGTAAGAGTTCAGTGAGA